GGTGTGCGGGTGTGCGGGTGTGTGGGTGGGTTTTTTTTGTGTTTTGTTGTGCTGTTTGGGTTAGCTGCTTTGGTTTGTGTGTGCGTGTTTTGTTTTGTGGTTGTGTGTTGGTGTGTCTGTGTTTGTGTATTTGTTTGTTTGCTTGCTAGTTTGCTTGCTTGCTTGCTTGTCTGTGTGTTTGTTTATCTATTTGTGCGCGTGTGTGTCTTTGCCAGGGTCGCAGGGTGTTTTGCTGTTCTTTTTTCTATGCTGTTTTCAAAACGGTTCCAGCTTTGTTCCATGCTCATGTCGTATGTTCCTCTGGCATGCGTGTGAACTAGCAACGAAATTTGACATGGCAATATCCGGCTTCCCTGCCTCACATCGAGTTTCAGTCTGGCACCACTAGGTCACTAGGTTCGTGCTGGTGCAGTCCGAGAAGGAACCAACCAGTAGAGAATGTCAGATCATTTGGCACTATAGGGCTCGTGTGTTGTCCAGATTTGACCTTAACGGCACGGTGCCTTGCAGGCGGAGAAGCCCAATCGAGCGATGTGCTCCTGCCTGCGCCCGGGTAGAGGCATTGCGAAGGGCTGGCACTTGTAGCCTGAACAACCGCAAAATGCGTAAAACCAAGCTCTCATCGCGGCTCGGGGTTTGGATGTTGGATTTTGGACGTTGGCACAGAGAGGCTGGGTTTCAGGAATTTTGATGGCTCGGGCTTCAAAAGCACTTCGACAATGGTGTTGAGTCGAAACGCGGGCGGCAAGCAGGGTCGAGTTTGCAGTGTCTTCAAAGAGGTTGCCCAGGTTTCCGCTTTCTGTAACATTCTGTGACCACTGTCGCTATGCATGATGCTGCTACAGCTGCTTTGGTTACAATGACTTGCTGTTAGCCATGGTTATTGTTCCTCTTCTTATTAATTCTCAGGACGAGTTCCAACGACCTCAGAGGGGGCTCGAAGTCGGATCTATCCGATTTCGGATAAAGTCGGCCCAAATAGACAGGAAGTACTTGCTACAAGCTGCTCTCTGCTCTTTAGATCCACACCTCGGAGTTGGGCAAAGGGCATGTAAAGGGAATGCTAGAGAAAAACAATACACACAAGACTGCAGCCGGCTTAGCTATGCTAGGCTTGTTGCAGGTATTGCTGGGCTATGATGTTTGTTGCTACAGGAACTCCAACGACTCGTACAGGGCTCTGGGGCAGCCTTCCGTGGATTTCCAGTCCCAAGGGCAGTTCTTTGACCGGAGAACCGCTTGCCGCAAAGATCGAGCGAGTCCAGAGGCTAGGCAGTCCATCTCGTGCGAAGGCCCTGGAAGCAAACTGATTCCACGAAGCTTCTCGCCAGGCACCCCCAAGCTGACGCCGGAGTTGCTGTTTTCAGCCGTCGTCTCAGGAACACCATGCAGTGAAGCTCAGTGACTTGAGTTTCGTGAGTCAACTATCCCAGGCCCGTCTGTTCGCAAATCCCAATCTCAAGACCCCGGCAGCCGTTGAGGTGGTTGCAGAGGATCGCACACTTGACCTTCAGGCACCTGGCTTCTTGAGCAGAATGAATCAACGACCAGTAATGTTGCTAGTTGTTGCGTTGTCCATTGTCTGCCTGAGCACGTTGAAGCCTCGGGAGGGCTGCGTTGACTGCTTGAGCTGAAATGACTCTGACTCCGCAGGCAGAGAATCCACAGCTGCACAAGCGCTGGGTGACGCCTTGCCTGTTGGACCGCATGCCGCCGCGGCGCCGGATGATAGTCTGATAGCTTAATTATACTACAAAGCACTGGGAGATGTTGGACCGTAACAGGCTCAGCGCAGGCTTGAGGGCTTGTGGCTTGAGGTACTGCGATGCAGACTGAGTGCTCTTGCATGCGGTTGGAGGACATTCTACCGCACGGAGTGAGAAGGTCCCCCTAACCTGTCACTTCTGGACCCCACGCCCGAACTCCAAAGAAAACAGACACCTCCAAAGTCCCATAGGTTACGAACCCTAAACCCTAACCTCCCTAACCCCCAACCACCTAAGCCCTAATCTCCCTAACCCCCAACCCTAAACGCTAACCTCCCCAACCCCCAACCACCTATAATACTCCTACCTACAAGCAGCGGCCCCCTTTGGAGCCGATCTTCGCCAGGTCGAGGGCTTGCGCCTGCGATTTCAGAGCTTCGCGGGAAGCCCAGACCTGGCTCTGGGCTGGCCGGAATCCATCCAGAAATAGGATTTAGTATTAGTGTAGGGGCCTAAATAATTG